TAGAATTCACGGTCATCCATTTCGCAACGCACGCCGCGCTCGCCCCGAACGATACGAAATTCAAATAGGCACAAACATTATTCAAATGCACTGATCCAGAGTTGTCTGACGTAAATAGAACATGCATATTGTATCCAGATCGAATTATTATTGGGAATCTGTGGTGCGTTCGGAAAGTGCTCACGGCATCCTAACGCCATTTTTATTTTGCACATTCTGTAAAACAAGACGGTGATTTTATATTTATTCTTGCAGTATAAATAATATCATTCAACAGATATTTTATTATTGTATACTTTTAAAGTGAAATTTTTTTTTAAATTGCTGTGTCTGAAAGTCGATAAAACGAAAAAGCGACACTAAAAAGTGACAAATATATATATATATATATAAATTTGTCAATTTTATGTCACTTATATATATATATATATATATATAGGATTTGGCCTGCGAAAGAATGAGATAGAATACGGAGTTTTTTTTTTTAAATTTATTAATATTTTATTCACATAAACCTTACGATTATCCTACTCTTGCAATTATCTTACAATTCACCTAAGCATTCGTATAAATCTCTCAGTTTAGTTTTCACTTCGTAAAAACCGCGTGAACTGCACACGTATTAACTTCCCGCTAAGAAAATTGAAAATTTTTAAAAATAGGTTAAGTTATTGCTTTCACCCTGATTTTCAAAAATCGATTCTTCATCAGGTCTCGACGTTTTGAAATCTCAGGAAGCTATTCTGACTAATTTCACGTGGACATCCATACGGATGGATGTACGTATGTGTTTTTTGAATGTCTTGATCGATTGAGATGCGGTTTGCGGCGTACTAAGATCTCTATGTAGAATACATTTATATGAACTGATTCAGACGAGTAGATTTTGAGAAATCTCAAAAATAAAAATTTTGTAAAACTGTTTTTTTTTTTTAAATAACTTTTAAATGGCGTTTGGAAAATGAAAATCGGTTTATTCGTTCGAGGGATATCGAAGGAGAACGAATTTGAAAAAAAACGTATTTTTTAACATAACTTCGAGATTTCGCAACATAATTTGGTGAAATTTGGAGCGCTTTGCATTTGAAATTAGCACAAAGTTCCAAGGATGGCCAACAGGGTCAACCAATTTTTTTGTTGTTTCTTGTTTAATTTTGTTTATAGCGTTAGTAAATTTCTACTTCACGAAGTATTCTAATACTTATTTGCTACTTGTTTTTTCCCTTAACTTCGTCTGCTCAGAAAACATGAAAACTATAATAGTGTGAGTGACGTATTATTCCTAATGTCACGGAGTTTCGGACATGCCCTCCCATACCCATACCATACCTTCTCATACCACAACAGACCCAGCACCATATTTTCAACTGTGACCATAAGCATCTTTTTCAATGATGGTGCGCTGAGCGTGCTGCTCACCCGGGAGTCTCCAAACTTTAATCTGGCCTCAGGCAAAATCTGGACTTATCAGTGAATAGAACTAGACTCCAACTTTCGTCATCACAATTTTCGTGCATAGTGCAACAGATGGCTGAGTTGACAGATGTTTTTGAAATTTGTTGCACCATGGCGCAATTTTGGATTAACCCAATATGGCGGCGCAGTAAACTGCGCGTGATTTACTGAGTTAACGCAAGGACTTTTGCTGAGTTACCTATGTCTAATCTAGCTGTGGATTTATACGAGCTAATGACGAAGGAATTGTAGAACCAGATGCCCAGCGTAGTAAGTAGAGGCAAAACATAGTTTTTTGGGACAAAACCACTCTCTCGTAGAATACCAGCGTGAAAAAGCAGCTGTTCCGAATGGTGAGTGTAGAGAACCAGATTTTTTTTACTGAAAACGAGGTGTCCATTAGAGCAACGCAGCGGTCTCTTTTTTATTTTAAAACCGTCTCAGTGATATGAGAAGACTTTTACAGCCATCTTTATTTTTTAAGGCAGCCATTTTTATTTCACGTTTACTGCACGAATTTTTAAACTTCCCGCTAAAAAAATTGAAAATTTTCAAAAATAGGGAACTTATTGGTTTGACCCCGATTTTCAAAAATGTGCGTGTATCTGTGTGTGTAAGTATGTAAAACTTTCATAACTTTAGAACGTCTTGATCAATTGAGATGCAGTTTGCGGCGTTCTAAAGATGTGCACACACACACACACACACACATACACATACATATATACGTAGATACATCCGTACGGACGTACACGTAAAATTAGTCAGAATAGCTTTCTGGGGTCTCCAAACGTCGAGATCAGATGAAACCACGATTTTTGAAAATCGGGGTCAAACCAATAAGTTCCCTCTTTTAGAAAATTTTCAATTTTAGCGGGAAGTTTCAAAACTCTTGCAGTAAACGTGAAATAAAAATGGCTGCCTTAAAAAATAAAGATGAGAGAAAGAGAGAGACGGTTTTAAGATAAAAAAGAGACCGCTGCGTTGCTCTAATGGATACCTCGTTTTCAGTGAAAAAAATCTGGTTCTCTAACTCACCATACGAAACAGCTGCTTTTTCACGCTGGTATTCTACGAGAGAGTGGTTTTTTCCCAAAAAACTATGTTTTGCCTCTACTTACTACGCTGGGCATCCGGTTCTACAATTCCTTCGTCATTAGCTCGTATAAATCCACAGCTAGATTAGACATAGGTAACTCAGCAAAAGTCCTTGCGTTAACTCAGTAAAGCCCGCGCAGTTTACTGCGCCGCCATATTGGGTTAATCCAAAATTGCGCCATGGTGCAACAAATTTCAAAAACATCTGTCAACTCAGCCATCTGTTGCACTATGCACGAAAATTGTGATGACGAAGGTTGGAGTTTAGTTCTATTCACTGATAAGTCCAGATTTTGCCTGAGGCCAGATTAAAGTTTGGACACTCCCGGGTGAGCAGCACCCTCAGCGCACCATCATTGAAAAAGATGCTTATAGTCACAGTTGAAAATATGGTGCTGGGTCTGTTGTGGTATGAGAAGGTATGGTATGGATATGGGAGGGCATGTCCGAAACTCCGTGTCATTAAGAATAATACGTCACTCACACTATTATAGTTTTCATGTTTTCTGAGCAGACGAAGTTAAGGGAAAAAACAAGTAGCAAATAAGTATCAGAATACTTCGTGTAGTAGAAGTTTACTAATGCTATAAACAAAATTAAACAAGAAACAACAAAAAAATTGGTTACCCTGCTGGCCATCTCTGGAACTTCCCGCTAATTTCAAAAGCAAACCGCTCCAAATTTCACCAAATTATATTGCGAAATCTCGAAGTTATGTTAAAAAATACGTTTTTTTCAAATTCTTTCTCCTTCGATATCCCTCGAACGAATGAACCGATTTTTATTTTCCAAACGCCGTATAAAATACATAAATTACGTGTCACGTTGTTTGTCCGCGATGGACTCCTAAACTACTTAACCAATTTTAATCAAATTTGCACACCGTGTGCATTTTGGTTCAACTTGAGAGATAGGATAGTTTTTTGCCCATAAGTGACCCACAATTTTTTTTTACGAATTTAAGGATTTTAATAGGACAAGACAAAGGGTAATCGAAAAGGGCAGAAAAACTTCTGCCTGGCAAGTTAGTCTATTATATATTATACTCTTTTATTTTATCTTATGTGTAACACTATATATCTTCTGCGCCGATGTCTTCGAAGTGTGCACATGGTCATCGATGAATTTAAAAAAGTAAACAATAGACGAAACTGTTTTCCGCAGCGAGTATCCAAACGCCGCCGTCTAAACAGGCACCCGCCCGTTAGTTCGGTCGATACGAAAACAGTGTCAAAAATGGCATTTTCAACAACACTTTGAACATATGCATTTATTCGACACAGACGGATCAGCGGTGTACAGTTATATGTGAATATTTTACGTCGCCCCGAGCGTCGCTTCTTTATAATATATTCAACAAAGTATACTATAGTAACGAGAATTGATCGAACTAGCGGACATCTTTAGTGATCGACTAACGACCCGCCCCGGCGTCGCCCGGTGGAACGTGTTAATATGACGTAATTAATATTTTTAAAATAATCATCAATACTTATTTTTCTCGTCTTTTTTTCTGAAAGCTGGTGCTTCTTTTGTACTTTTAGAATTATCTTTAATAATGCGTATTTAATTGACTTCGAAGACATTGATGGTGTTCTCATTTTAATTATATTGAAGTCGGTTGAACAAATTTTTTAATTGTACCGCTTGTTTTCTTTTTCAGCACGGGAAATGGACGTCATTATTTTTAGGAAGGTCTAAAGAATTTCTCGTATCACAGATTTTCAAGGACCAAAATTAAATAGGGCCGGTGCAGATGCAAAGGTGAAACCTTTTGCTAGCATCATAAACGGAGCGGAGTAAAAGTCTAAAGTCAATAATATCTTTAATTTTAACAAAAGATTCAATCAAATGGTGTGATATTGCGCAGTTGTAAATTTGTGAATTGATTAGATAGGAAAGAAAAAAAAATTCAAATCTAGATTTTTATTGTTTACAAACCTTGTCTGTATTGATCTTCAAATATTGCCGATAAAATTATGTAAATTGGCCTACGTGTTACGGAGGAGATAGATTTCAAAGATTCGTTTCCTTGCGCCATGGGAGGCAATCCAATAATCAAATCGACACAAACATTTTATACTACGCTAACTCGAATTTTAAGAAAATTCGTTTTTTTATGCCAATTTGATTAAAATGTATTTTTATATGTAATAAAAAATCGTAAAGAAATATACAAAAATAACGAAGTTACAAATCTTATACAACGCTAAGTAAAGGTACTTTTCGAAATCGCTCAATTTAAATTACACTAAATATTATTATTGGAGTGTTCACGGGAGGGGGGGGGGGCACCGCTTATTTGTTTACATTAATCTAACGACACTTGTCGCTGTGTTAGATGTGATTGCGCGGTTTTAAAAACTTTATAAGTAAATCATAATTCATCTAACGTCATTGTTACAAGTTATTTAAAATATTGTTAGTGTTAATTTATTAATACAAAAATGTCACGAAAACGAGCTAAATATTTAGTGGATTTAGCCAAAAAGGAGAAAAATTCATTGAGGAGTTTTGATAAAAATGGTGAGATAGTACCGCTTCTTACTGACGAGAGAGGAAGTTTAATATGTTAAGGATTATAGTGTAGGTCAAAGTATATAATTATGTTTTTTTTTTCAAAATTTGAGCCGCTTAGCTCAGAGTCCGTGTAACACTACGCTAACACTTAGTTAGCGTAGTTTAGTGCGTTCGTGTATACTTGTTCATTTGTAAAATGCACTACTTAGCGACTTTACCGTTGTAAATACTTATGTAACAACGAGTGTTAATTAGTTTATTGATGGTACCTTGAGCATGTTTATAATGTACATGTTTTTTTATAAAAAATTAACATATGATTTCAACACATTATCCCTAGTGTAAAACACAAATTATAAAAATTTCCGTAAAAATTTTCCTTTTTTTATTTTTTGGGTTGGGGTTTTCCCATCCCTTTACCTTATATAGAATTTCCTCGCCATTACCTGCCGAAGTTGATAATCCTGAATTCGTGGCTTTGTATAATCACGTCATGTTTGAATAGCCTATTCAAGAGCATGATTATTCTATAGTCAGTTCTATTACAATTAACTAATTGTATTACAAGATATAAATTTGAATGACTGGGGGCTCCTAAAACTCCACGTAATTATAATTATGTTTAATTATAAATAATAATTACGTATATTTCAATTCAACAAATGTGTCTTCAACCCAAAAGCGTTCTCCATTGACATTAACTCCACCAATTATCGAACCTTTGTTTTCAGTCGTCTCTAATGATACTTCTGACAGCATAGATAATACCCCCGTACCTTCATCTTATAGTGATTTTTCGGAATCTTCACAAAGTTTAAACGGTACTTTAGTGCCGACTTCTCGCCAAGAAACCGAAGATCACACCAGAAATCAGTACGTCCGTCCAGGTAAGTCTTCCCAATTCGCATATGGCTAACTGCTTCAGCAATAAAACAGATTCAGTATCGGCAATATCTACTCCCTATAATTCAATTTCCTCGCCTGCAACGTTCAATGATATTGAACGTTGCAGGTTATGACTATTCTGTAGTATCGACCCCAAAAAATAATAAACGTAGATCTAAACAAAGAACTGAGGTGGATCTCAAACGTCATAAACTTGAAGATAATCTGTGCTCGAAGATGAGTGGATATGTAGAAAGAGAAAATGTTTGTGTAACAATGGAATTGAGTATACTACGTCAAAAGGGAAAACTAAAGCACCAAGAAGCATTAAAGTTAGTTGTGTCAATTGTCGTCTGCAATGCTAAAATAAAATAAGCCAAGAAGTTCGTATTGACCTGTTTGATAAGTTTTGGGATACTGATAATCACGCAAAACAATGCCAAATCGTTGTCAAATATGTAATACAAAAAAGTAAAACGACTGCCACTAACGTCAAAAGCGAATCTAGTCGTCGATCACACACTTTGCATTATCACCTTCCTATAAATTCTGACATTGGCATCACATTACAAAAAGTTTGCAAAACAATGTTCTTGAACACCTTTAATATTAGTAAAGATTTTGTGTATACTGCAATACGAAAAATCCAAAAAAACAATGATTTTACTCATGTTACTGATGACAGAGATCGGCATAAAAGCCATAACTATGTAATTTCAAATGAAATGAAACAGAGTGTCATAGATCACGTTAATTCTTTCACCCCCGTTGAGTCTCACTACGTTAGAAAACATACGAGTAAAAAATACTTAGAACCTTCTTTATCTTTTTCAAAAATGTTTAAGTTGTATGATGAGTGGTGTGCTGTTAATAATTATAATGTTAGAGTACAGTCAGTAAGACAGTATAGAGATATTGTTAATACTAATTTGAAGATAGGTTTTCATTTACCAAAAAAGACCAATGCGATCTCTGTCATCAGTACAAAAATACATCTAGCCCTACAGATGAATTGAAAGAAAACTTCACAAAACATTAAACAGATAAAGTAAATTAAAATTAGATTGTAAACTGTTAGCTGTTTCTAGTAACAAAATAGTTTGTATTGTATTTGATTTTCAAAAAGTTTTAAGCTCACTACATGATAATATAAGTGTGTATTATTATAGGCGTAAGCTCAATGTATATAATTTTACAATCTACAATATGGGATCAAATGAAGCATTTTGTTATATATGGGATAAGCAAACGGCTAGGGGGGAGGGGGGCCAATGAAGTGGCTAGTTGTTTATACTCTTATATTGTTAATACTAATTTAAAGATAGGTTTTCATTTACCAAAAAAGACCAATGCGACAGATGAATTGAAAGAAAACTTCACAAAACATTAAACAGATAAAGAAATTTCCCGTAAATTAAAATTAGAATGTAAACTGTTAGATGTTTCTAGTAACAAAATAGTTTGTATTGTATTTGATTTTCAAAAAGTTTAAGTATAAGTTATAGTGTGTTTATGTAGGGTAAGCTCAATGTATATAATTTTACAATCTACAATATGGAATCAAATGAAGCATTTTGTTATATATGGGATGAGCAAACGGCTAGGGGGAGGGGGCCAATGAAGTGGCCAGTTGTTTATACGATTTTTTTTATTAAATTAGCTTCTAAGGGAGTTCACGAAGTTAATCTGTGGTCAGACAACTGTGGGGGACAAAATCGTAACCGTATTGTTTACTATATGTAGTTATTAGCTGCTAAAATTTTCGAAAATGAAGATAAGCCACCATTTTATGGAAAAGAGCCATACACAGAATGAAGGAGATTCAGTTCACGCTTTGATAGAAAAAACTGCAAGAGGTAGAGAGGTATATTCCGGATTAGTGGTATTCACAAGTACGATGGGCAAAGGTCAATGGGAATCTTATAATGTTATCGAGGTTAATCAAAACATGATATTTGATTTTAAAAGTAATATTAGCAAAAAAATTGGACTAAAATTGAAATAACGATAAAGTTATGTGGAATAAAGTACAAAATGAACTTTCTTCCGATAATTACGGGTTGTTGGAATATAAACATAGTTTAGGTGATAAAGAAAGCAATCAAATACAATGTTTTAAAAAGACATCTACTAGATTATCCCACTTGGAGCCTTTACCTCAAAAAGCATAGAAAACTTTGTTAAAAATTAATGAAGCAAAATATAAAGATTTAAAACAATACTGTGATAATAATATTATACCCGAAAAGTAACATATATATATCATATCATAATATATATATCATTTTATAGGAATTTATTAACAACTGAATATGATGAGAATAATGTAAGTGATGATGAAGTTTGAATGATTATAAGTACTTAATGATTACAACATACTATTTAAATTATTCGATTTATAGTTACCACTTAGAAGTTTTTTTTAATTAAGAATAACAATTATGTGCAATCTTGATTTAAATACGATATACGAAGTGGAACTGTGATTAATCTGATCTCTTATCTTTAATTAATAGGTAATTACCTGAAATTTAAATAAACAGTTGATTACTATATTTGTTTTAATTATATATTTACCTACAAAAATAATATCTGCAGAATTTTATCAAGAATTTATAAAAATCTACATGTATTATAGCTCAACGGAAAGTTAAATGGTATGCTAACTTATTGCATACGTCGATGTATAGTACACTATATATAATTCGACGGCTTTTAATACTGTTACGAGCTTGAGGTTCGTGACAATAAAAACTGCCGATTGAATTACCAAAATTTACACTTGTATTACCGAACACCAATTAAAACTTAAAACACTAATAATTAACCATACTGACTCACTTTATTTCGCTCCGAAGCTTCGCTTGTCTCGCCAAATTCAATACTGCCCCGATCGCGGCATGCAGCGGGTTTAAATACACTTTTACGCCGAAACATCCAGAATATTCCCGTAGATACGGGCGCCGACCGACCAGACGCAGAAAGTTCGAGTGTGAGGCTTCTGGAAAGCTTAGTTCTTCAATTCGATACCAGATGGCGCTGTTGGTTAAAAGATTAGTCATGTCATTTTCTGGAAAGCTCTCCTCGCTCTGTTACCCGACGCTAGATGGCGCTAGTGCCAGACGTCAACTTAGGCGCGCAACAATACGATATGCGCCAGTGATGCATGTACCGGTTAAATAAAGCTAACTTTAATAACTTGTTATTTAGCATAATAATTTCTAATTATATACCTTGTGAATATATATAAAAACCTAACCTTATAATTAATGCATAATATATTTTACAATTATGATTGTAAAGCAAAAAATATAACACTTCTTTAACACTATGATCTCCTGCAATACTCTATGCTAACATTAGTTAGACGTATGTAATATGTAAAATCTTATTGAGGAATTACGTTTATATACGGCTAATTAGCGCTAAATCAAAAAATATAAATAATTAAGAAAAAATAAATATGGGAAATTACGATGAATAAATTAAATATTAAGCATACCAAATTTCAAATAAGTATCTTAATTAATATAAGAGTTATCACGTTTTTCCCTTTATATGCCTCTACTGTAAAGTTTACTTTTATGAGTTAGCTTAGTATAAATTGCTGATGTTGAAATGCTGAAAGTCCTCCGGGTTAACTATGGCATCAAGTCGTCAAATACCTTAGACGTCTTCTTGACCATGCGAGCTATAATGCACCCGAAACGTCAGTACCTAAAAATCTTTTTTGATTTAATGAAGCGCGTCAGATTAAGGTAAAGTGGGTTAATTATGAGTTAAAAAGAATGCATTTAGAAAATCTGACAATTTGAGCGTAACGCAAGGGAGTGGGAGGGTTACAAAGTTGCAAAAAAACGTTGTCTTGACATTCCCGTGTGTTGTTTTTTTTTCTTTGAAGGAAATAATGCAAAATAGCAAAAAAAACAATCCGCCGATTTTCACTGCCCGAAGTACCAAAAATCGTCTATGAGAGTGTGCAGCTGGAGTAAAACATGTATAGCACCTGGAGTAAAGCACCCCACACCGCGCCTCTCTCTCCCTTTCACTTTTTCGCTATCTCTGACTCTCTCGTGCCATCATCACCCATTCATAGTCACATTTTATGGTTATTGAGAAAAAAAAGTTAATAAAAAAATTCTTAAAAAAATTTGTTTCTTGCAGTCAGGTTATCCCTCAAAATAATCGTCAGATTTTAAGCTACCATAACTGGGAACTCAAGCTGAACCTTCTCTATAATAATCTGACACGCTCAAGTATTTCAATATGGCGATTATATTTTCGCATTTTCAAAACTCCATTACGAACTTTCATCTTTTCCGAATCGTAATTCTTTTGAATGGGAGCATTTTTATCGTTCACTAAACATCCCCTTTGAATTTAATTTTTGAATATCTGTAGCAGTTTGTAGTGGTTTTACATTTTTGAAAATCTTTAGACGCTTCTCCGCCACTCTAAATTCTAATAAGTCCCCACGACACTCGAGTAAATCTCCATTTAACATCACGGGCTCCCCTACTATAAATACATGAAATCACTACTATCCTTTTTCAACGTGGTAGAGCCATGCTGCAGCTATATTATGGTTGTAACTCGAATGTGTCGGCTCGATCGGTGTAGTACCACGCTCTCACAGAATACCAGCGTCAAATAGCAGCTATAAGCGTAATATATGCTCCTGTGTTTCGTATGGTGAGCGTAGAAAACCGGAGACCCTTTTTACTGGAAACGAGGCATTCCATCTTAGTCCTAAGGTGTGGCAATGAATTGACATTTTAATTCTTAATCGAGGATAGATGTAGATGTCTATGAGCCACAGCATCCATGTACCATCGTTTGAGACTTTTATTCTGGAAAAAAATCTTAATCTATTATCATCAACAGTCATTTATTTTACTTACTTGTCAATTTCTCAAAAAAAAATCTCCTAGTTTTTCAACTAAACTATATAGCTAAGATCACTTCTAGCATCGGCCTCTATTTGTTCGTGAAGTTTTATCACAATGAATGCAGCCATTCGAAAGACAGACAAAAATTTTACAAATGCTTATTCGTTTCTTACTGGCATGCAAATCAAAGGTTTAAATAGTTAGATGCGCCCTTAGCACTCCGAAATGTGTCCATTCTCAAATGAGTGAGATCTTTCATTCGCAATCAGTGCTCGTCTGTGCGACAGAGAAAGCAGTATACCGAATTTCTGTAAGATAATAAGAGATGACACTATTGCATGTACACGTCGGCGTCTTGCAAACGAACACATCCAAAAATGATGCCACAGTTTTTAAGGTAGGCAAATACTTTGAGCTTAACATAAGGATTCCGATATTACTGACAAACACTTCCGCTTTATTATAATACCTACATAAGGTACGTGAGGGTAATAAGTACCTTAAGCTTTGCCGCCCTATAAAACCAAAACTAGGAGGGGGACAGAGACAAAAACACAGAGTCGTACACTACAACTAATATATTAAGAAAAAAAATACCAAACAAGCCTTGGAAATAATTATAAACACTTCGTAAAAAAACTAAAAAAAAACAATTAAATAAATAATTAAAAAAAGGCTGAAGTTTTAGAGTTATAAGAAAGTGACCATATTACCCGGATGACCAAATTACCCTCACATACTTGTAAAGGTATAAGCGACATAAATAATATATAAGCGACTCTCTCATTGTAGAGAAAATTTGCCTTTACTCTTCAACCCCCATAAAAATTCCATGCAGTCGCATGCGTCCGTCATATCCCGAGCGATCGCATTCACCCACAGCGCTTTAAACCATTAAAACCTATATACGAAGAGACTACTTTTTTATGAAGAAGCTTGGCATTATAAAATCTGTACAAAATTCTCTATCTTGTGGTCTAAACAAAAGTTTTTACTTCCTTACAAAAAGATTTTATCGTATTTTGATAACAAAAAACACATACCAAGCGGATGTCGGCAGCATGAAAATTACAATTATTTCTATATACTACTCGAAATTGATTTCGTAAAAAGATAAATTATATTCACACAAAAACTTTCATTACAATTTTATAATAAAACACTATACTAAAACACTAATAAAACACTAGAAAAATCCAAAAATCGACACAATAACATTCACACGAAAATGGCGTACGAAATGAACGTAGATTATAAATACATATAGACTAGCTGACTTTTTATTCCCCTAGAGGATAGAAAATTTCATATTATTGATTCTATAATGCCAAACTTCTTCATAGAAAGTAGTCTCTAAACATAAGTATTTATGGGTTACAGTGCTGTAGGCGGGTGCGGTCACATTTGACCTCTTGAATTTTGACGGAATATCGCTACGGCCAAATTTGGACTCTTGCTCTAGCTAAGAGATTAAAGGGATATTTTCACCGTTTTGACCATATAAACGTATTCCTGTTTTCATCCTGGATATTGTACATAACAACGACCCAGAAGAAGGACTAGAAATTGGAGACTGGATCAAGATCCACAGCAAAATAACTGGTGAACCAGTAAAAGAGAACTTGGCCCTGATAAGTGCGTGTTTTACGTGGTAGAGCCACGCTGCAGCTATATTATAGTTGTAGCACGAACGGGTCGGCTCGACTGAGACAGGACCATGCTCTTACAGAATACCAGACTAATGCTGCTATGTTTCGTATGGTGAGTGTAGAGAATCGGAGACCCTTTTTATTGGAATAGAGGCATTCCATCTTAGTCCTCAGGGGTGACAGTGAATATGCATTTTGATTCTTAATTGAGGATGGATGTGGATGTGTATGGGCCACAGCATCCACTTATCATCAGATGGACTGTGTACTCGTTTGTCATCTAATACTATTAAAAAAAAATATCGACCAAAGTCGCGCATGTCAATGCGTGTTTGTGTCGTGAAACCACTACTTACCTCAAGGTAATTTTATGATATGGTCACGTTGAGGCGCTTTCAGCCGCAACCGTGGCAGTCCCATTGTCAGATCTACCCCGCATGAGGTTATCGCTATGCCATGCACCACCAACTAAAACAACGGAAAATATAGCCGAAGTAATGAATATCCTATACCTTTAAACGAGCAATTCTTGTATATATATCTATATATAATCGGAATCTCGGAAACGGCTCCAACGATTTTCATAAAATTTAGTGTCCAGGGAGTTTCGGGGGCAATAAATCGATCTAGCTAGGATTTATTTTCAGAAAATGTCCTTTTGTTCGTGTTTTCAGGCAATAAAAAACTGCTACAATATAAGAACGTAAATTTTGACAGACTACTAACGATCGTAATAGCTCACGTGGGATGTCGGTCGGGCGTGATATCGGAGTTCCGTGGTTCGCGTCCCGTCTTGGGTCCGATTTTTT